AACTACTATAATTTTACTCGAATATGTTGCAGCGGAGGCATACTCTCAAGGGACTCACAGTACACGGGCTTAATGATGTGGCTAGTCGATGGCGTTATTCTTGACAGTGGGATTTCCGAACACAAATACCCACACGGAATTGAACGAAGTGGAATCCTATGATTGGTTTGCACTGAACTAGTGGAAGGGTTGATAATGCGAGAGAACAAGAAGAGTGTAATGCTTATAAGCAGCAGTGGACTAGTGAAGTGATGAAACTCCACACCAGGAGTACTGTTTGAAGCCAGACCTAAGGACATCAGTTAGTGTGGGCGAAAGGAGCCAATGGGATTATAGAAGTGGCCACTATGTGAATCACCTTTTTGAGAGCCGTCCTCTGAGAAGTTATTGTGTACTCTCTATCATGTGAATACATGGTCTGGATCGAGGGACTTTAGTCAGCCAGTTAGATAAGACGGGTTTTTAATGTCAAAAAGAACAAACATATGGAAGCTAGATGAAGTGCCTTACCAAGTTAAGGTACCAGTTTGGCTCTAGACCGGATGTAAAACCCACCTAAACGGGACGTATCGGGGTAGTCAAGACTGCGGTTACAGCGTCAGGAGCTAGGACAGGAGGGTGGGAGAGAATTCAAGATTGTTTGATTTCATCTTAAATTAGTTTTTTTTAAACTACCATTACAACATATATGGGATGTATTCATATATATGATCTACTGATAGTCTAGAGATGCTGCTTATAAACGAAAAATACGTAATATAGTCAATTGGTACAGCAAATACAACTTTGCTTCATTGACAATCCCACTGATTAAATGTGATATGTTAAAATGCTGGCATTCCTTGAGTTTATTCTCTGCCCTATGAATCAAAGGCATTCATTGAGGTGTGGTGTAAGGGTTAATGGGTAAGGACTATAAACTGCACTATCTGGATTCGGACCCCATTGGAGGTGTGGATGAAACCTAGGTGAGGCTAAAATTGCAGTCCAGTCTGGATGAAAACCTCTTTGAAATGCAATGCTGTGTGAAATTAAAAAGGAGCCGGAAGCTCACTTTTATCATTGTGGGACAATTCAGCTACAATTCCCTCATAATCGTAAATGACATAGTGTGAATATATCTCTTTCATTAGTCACTTGCCATTTTGATGAGTTGTAGCTCGATGCTCAAGATGGCGCGTCTCACTGAAGCTGCCAATTACGTCTAATAATGTAAATAATTCGCGGTCCGAAATTTATTAAGATTGAATTTTGAGATAATCACATGAGACGTATTCACCCTATTTCGTTTAAGGTGATGAAGAACTGGTAGTATAATTTTCCCACAATGATATGAGTAGAGCTGACTTTTCCATTAAATTTCACATAGCCTTTCTTTACCATAATGTATTCTCATCCAGAGTGGACTGCAGTTTCGGCCTCATCTAGGCCACATTAGCATCCCTAGCGGGAAATTAAGGCTTTTGGAAATCCAATGGAAATGTAAGGTTAATTTATATCGTTGTTAAAAAATTTAACTTCTAATCCCCTTATCATCTTAAACGGAATACGATGAGTACATTCTATATAATTGATCTATTGATAGTCTATAAAACCTACTTATAAAATTAAAAAAAAAAAAATCTGTAATGCAGTCGATTACTATAGCAATCAAAAATTGCTTCATCGAAAATGCCACTACAGAATGTGATATAGGAAAATGACTGGCCTTCCTGGAAATTCATATTTGCTTTTTGACCCAAGGACACTCTGGGAAATATATCGTAGTGGTTGACTTTCAGAAGTTATACGTTTCAGTCATGGTTCGAGTCCCACTATGGGTGCTGATGAGGTCTAGGCGAGGTCAAAACTATAGTCCACCATAGATGAGCATGGAAATGTAATGTCAACTCATATCATCGTGGGAAACTTCAACTACCAGACCCCTTATCACTATAAGCGAAAAAGGGCGACTTTATCTTATATATATGATTTCCTGGCAGTCTTAAAAACCTACCTATAAAAAACGAAAAATGGGAGAGTTTTATTTGCCTTTAACTAAGTGTTCTATTCACCCTTAATGAAGGACTGATAATTTTTCAACTTGATTTAGTATTGAAGTAATGAAGACCAAGATGTTGTGACCTCTGGTATGGTCGCAGTCTCCCTTCGATTTATAGAAATGGGTTGACCTCGTTGTCGGAACTTGGTCTTGTTGTCAAGGGGACTTAGTGGCTTGGTGCGGAAAATCGCAAAACTCACTGGTGATGCCGACTGCGATGCCGGCGAAACGTTTGAGAATGTACCAAGTCTACTGTCTGATGCTGGGAATCGTGACAACTACTATGGCAGACGACTTCGGACTAGGTGGGTTCTACACAGTCGCCCTGACAACAAGACCAAGTTGCGACAACGAGGTCAACCTACTTGATTTAGTATTTTTCGCAAAAGTGAGGCTCTACTCTTTATTTCGAAATAAATATTAGCTGAAAGGAATTCGTCGTTAACCGGGGGAGGATTACGGCAGAATGAAGACTGGTGGATTGCGCAATTGAGTCCTCGGTCCACAGCCTCGCGATCCCGATAAATCATTGGCGGGCTTTCGCCCGTCACTAATGCACGAATCTAGCGAATTGCCCTAAAGCATAGTGTCCTGCTCTGAAGATGTCCATTGCACGACGGACGAGAGCTTAGCACTCTCCATTCAGCTTCTGGTGATGCAAACTTACGAAGCCCTTCCACTAACCTCTTAAAAAGGAATGAAGGATACTCAAATTTGTCTACATACCAGCCTCATTATCAATCGGCGGGAGTCCAGTTTCTCATCATCCTATGCAACTTCATTCAAATATCCTGGCAACAAGGACAGTGTACGTAATACGGCACAAGCTATTCGATTGGAGACTGTGACATTATCAAAATGCTCACCCTCTTTCTCTTTGTTTCATAACAAGGCCATGCTTGATTGACGACCCATGCAAGCAAATGAACTTTAACTCAATCTTTATCTGACGTGAGATCTCTTCATGAACTTAATCTTGAGTCGGACGCTTTTAATGCTCTATTTCTCACTATTTTTCATTTACGATGCCATCCTTCTGCTATTATTCCTGAAACCAATTACGAGCGCTGTTAATGACTCGTATTTTCAACATATGTTCTCTTTTAAGGTATAGAAATTAACTTTTTTTATTGTTTCTATGTTTGTAGTCATTCGTTCAAGCACCTTTAGGGATACTTGTCTTACTTCGCCTACTCGTGTATATGCTAGTAGCTATTATTTTTTCCCAAATATCATATACATTAAACTATTGTATTGCAAAATCCATCTTTTTAAAGTTTTTTCTAGTATCATGCATCTCATTTTACTTCTTCCTCTTTACACAACTGCATACATTTTTCACATTCTATCGGTAAATCTCATGTTCTATATGCTTATGCATCCAGGGCTACTATAAGGACACTGTTGAATTCTTCTTTGACACTCGAGACGCATGCAAAAACTTCTGGAAGAAGTGCATCGAGCATCATGCCTTCTTTCGGTCACAGGCGTTGACCGGAGCCCCAGGGGCCGGTGGTGCAGGCAAGTTATCCCGGGGCCAGAAGACGCATCCTTATACGCCGCTAGCCTCGAGTCTTGGCCCCGGCCTTGGCTTGTCCGAGGACCTTGTGGCTAGAGGTTATGCTGGAGGGGAGCAGCGTGAGACCGTTGCAAGTGCAGGCGTAAGTTGGCTTGGAAAATGTTAATCTCGCCTTGATTTACTTTAGTCAAATGTTTTCACAATTGACTAGCTCGATGCTTTGTTCCACTGATTACTGTTTTCTGGAGGCGTATGAACCACCAGCCTGAAATCTTTAGGGATACCAATCGAGCACTGCACCATCACTAGTCCAAAACTTTATTCTACCAGTCATGTTTAAATACATCTTTGTCAGATTCTATGCCTTGAATGATACTGCTTTAGGAGACAAGCAACTTCAATTTTGATATGGCATTCAAAAAAGAATCTAAATATCCCATATTTATTCCCTAAGCGTTATATGTTGATTACCTAGAGACCAATAAAAACGCGATACTTTCTTCTCGAAATAATACCTCTATGCATGAGTTACATCGCTGGTTTTCTTAACTTTGGAGAGCGGTGATTTGGTTATCTAGAAAATTTACGATCAATTTTGGTTCATACCTTGATGCTAATGTTTCCCTTTCGACCAACCGTAATTGCATTTTCCACTATGCTTTTATCTCCTCACTTATTTGAGGTAAATTTATTTATTTATTTAATTTATTATTATTATTAATTAAATAATTAATTCTTAATGTAATCATTTATTTTTATCGAAAAAAGAAATCATCATTTCTCTTCAACCAAGTGTCTTTATTGTGAAGCTTCACCAATTACCTAATATGTTGTGCATAGCGTCAAATATATTTAGTTACCAGCTCGTTGCTAAACGAATCTAGTTCAAATAACAAGTCTTTATATCAAACTCTCAATCTACCTATACTATTCTTGTAACTACTACCGATATCAAATTCCGTGTTGCCTTAGATTTATTTACAGTGGGAAGATTAATATTGTTTTGAAATGTTTGCCCTAAAACTCATTCGTTTTGAGGCAATGGCGTGAAGCATTAGGCGTTTGCAACCGATTAACTAAACTGACCATTACGTAATCCACTATTTGCATTTTGTAGAGCACAGTTTGGTAAGCTTATTGCAAGCTTATGCAAATTAAATGCCAATCGGATCATTATGCAGAGAATGCATCGTTCCCATTTGGGATTTATTTCGACGTCTACTGCAAAGTATTGCAAGATTATTTAATAAATGATAATAGGCTTGGTGTGTTGTTCTAAGATAAATAAATTTCCTTTTTGACCGCAAAGAGATTATTATATTTTTATCTCGAAGCTTGATATTTAGGCATGATTACTCGTTATTAACAACCAATAATTCTACTTTTAATGTTAATGCTAAGGTTCAATAGAATTAGTATGATTTAGTTTTCGCAATTCGATCCTAATATCAAGGGACTTCAAAAAACGTACCACTTACTATATCCTCTGTTATTATCATTATAATTTCCTCCACTATATGACTGCACCCAGTCATCAATGAGACGCTGTAAGAAATCATGCCATGTTGGCGAAGGATGCAATGTGAGCTGTTTATTTCTGAGTTTCCCTTACACCAAGCCCGAATCAGAATGATTATCTAACGCGAAAGGGGGCTGTAAGCAAAGTATGGACAACGCTATCGCTGTATTCATATCTTCGATAAAGCCTACTCATTTGATAATTCGAGATTATGTAAAAATAATATGTTTTTACTTCATTAGGGAGGAAAGCATGTTGGCCATGTGTCCAACCTCAATGGTACACTACTGCCTAACATTTGCAGATACTATAAAACAATAACAGTTGGAAAATGGATAGGGGGACCTGGCTTATTCATAAGTTTACCTGAACTTTAAATCGCCTACTTAGGTAAGCATATATCAGATTTTACACAAAAACACCACATTTCTGGATCCTGTATTGGTGGTTGGAAGGATTTTCGGTGGAATTCAGTTTTAAACATATTTAATTACTACTGACGTTTTTAATAATGCACGTTTACTTAATTATATACCCCTTTCAGGCAATATTTTTATATAAAATGTATTCACCCTATTTCGTTAAGGTGATGAAGGAGTGATAGTTTAATTTTTCCACAATGATATAAATATACCTTGTGTTTTATTGAATTTCACATGGCATTGCTTTCCAAAAGGTATTCTTATCTAGGCAGGAGTCCACTGCACGAGGGGAATAGAGGAAAAACAATGGATATGTCTACCAACCTGCGAATTGGTTTGTAAACTACTGCCGATACTATGAAAATGGAACATTCGTACAATCCTCCTGAAGGTAAGTACAACCCTCTTCATCAGCTTGCCCACACAGCATGAATAAGTCAACAAAATGGAGTTTTTCGGAGTTTACGGCAAAAACCACAAGGACTGTGAACAAAAATACATCAGAAAGACGGGAAGGACAATCGGCACAGGGATCAAAGTACACCAGCGACTATGCAGAAAAATGGAAACGGAAAGATCGGAGATAGCTGAACACATCGCCATTATCGGCCACACAATTTACTGGGATGCAACGGAAAGACTGACCTTATATGGGGAAATCATCAGGAAAAGGAAGAGCTGATGAACAGGGGATTGGAAGAAGGAAGAGTCAGCAATCATTTCGCGTACCTGCTGGGCAGACGTGAAGACACTTGGGCCCTGGACAACTGTTCAACAAACGGAATAGATATCACCAAGTGGTGATATCTCATGAGGAACAAAGGGAAGTCAAGACCTACCGGCGGCTCTTAGACAGCAGATTTCAGACAGCCAAACAGTGATTTTATTTATAGAAGCGGGTTGACCTCGTTTTCGGAATCAGATGCGGAATTGGCCAGGGGATTCACCTGTTAGATGTAGGATATTAAATCAAAGGCTGAAGGTATAGATGGGCCAGATATTGGTCACCAATGTGTGTGCGTAGGCGTGGTGTGTATTTTCGTAGCTGTATCTGAAGGGGAGGTGACTGGTGGCAGGCTTGACCACGGGGATACCAGTCAACTCACACAAAGCAACATCCCGTCATTACCTTCGGATTAGATGGGAATGCCGACGCGAGAGACGAGACGAGTGTACTTTTGGCGATTCAAAGGAGAAAAGAGAAGCCGTGCATTCTCACACCAGCGGTTATGACTTAAGCCGGACACAGGGCCTCAACGAATGAGGCACAATGTGGGTGGGGATGAGAGAGGGATAATCGAGTCGTGGGTTTGAAGCCTAGGTGGAGGAAGATTCCCAGGCATTGGTGTAATCTAACAGGGAAATTGAAAGCTCTTAGGCAGCAGATTTTAGACAGCTAAACAGTGATTTCGATTTATAGAAGTGAGTTGACCTCGTTTTCGCAACTTGGTCTTGTTGTCAGGGCGACTTAGTAGGACGCACTTTGTCCGAAATCGTTGCCATACTAGTTATCCTAATTCCCAGCATCAGAACGTGAACTTCGGGCAACTAAACCAAGTTGCCAAAATGAGGTCATCCTAATTCTATAAATCGAAAGGAGACTGCGATCATACCGGAGGCCACACCATCTTGGTTTTCATACAAGTGATTTTGATGTTTTCATTGGCCATTTGACAAGTGGGTAGGAAAAAAGGGAGGGCAGAATGTGGATCAGGAGCACTGCAAATGGCATCTGGTACCGGTTGTGGAGATTATTAGGCTTCAGCAAACCCACTTGCTGCGACACACTCTTGGGCGGCATTGAAGAAAATGAGAGCACATAATTGTATGAATAAGTGGATAGCCCATATGAAGTAGGGTTGAGAGTAATAGTTGTGGTACTAGAAGTTTTAACAAAAAATACAGGCGAGGAGTGATGTTACAACGGTTGAACAGAAAATTGGTCAAGAGGATTGCTCTGTGCTTACGATGCTGGCGAAATCTTTGGGAATATATCCAGCCAATGGTTCAATGTTGGAGATCCCAAATACTATAGCA